GTCCTCCGCAGCTGGGACAAGACCAGGATAGTGATGGCTTTGTGACTGTTCGGAGAGGGCCACGTGTTGTTGGTAGTTTCCCCATTGGGCCTCCTCCTGTTAGCATTTACAATCGCTGGGACGCTCTGTCCGGCTGCGCCCCCGCGCGGCCGGGCGGGGAAGAAGGCCCCACTGAGAGAGCCGCTGAGAGAGCTGCTGAGAGAGCTGCTGAGAGAGCTGCTGAGAGAGCCGATGGAGTCGCTGATGCGCTGGTAATTGGCTCCTCTATTGTTAGAGGTGTTAAGATCCCAGGAGCCACTGTTCGGTGCTTCCCTGGGGCCAGGCTTGGTGATATTGAAGGGAATCTGAGGCTCATGATGACCCACAAGCAGCGTTTCCGTCGAATTGTTATTCACGCGGGTGGTAATGACGTTCGGCGGAAACAGTCCGAGGTGTTGAAGCTGCAAGTCGCCGCGGTGTGCAAGCTGGCTAGCACAATGGCCGACACTGTCATCTTCTCTGGGCCCCTACCTAGCACTAGCAGTGCAGAAGCATTCAGCAGACACTCGGCTTTCAACCGCTGGCTGTCTGGCTGGTGCCCTCGAAGTGGTGTTGTTCATGTTGACAATTGGAGTGCCTTTTGGGGAAAGCCCGGTCTCATCCGCTCGGATGATATCCACCCAACGTTGGCGGGTACATCCCTTTTGGCTAAGAATTTGGCCCTGGCTCTAAACTGTTCTGCCCGGCTCAAATGACGGTGCAGAACTGAGGCCCGGGTGCAGAGCTGCTCTGCCACAACCTCTGAGCCCCCATCTGTTCAGTTACTAGCCTCAGAAGCTAGTCAGATTGAAACTGTGTGTGTTCCCCGCTTGAAGTCTAAAGCACTATATGTGAGGAAATCTGACCTGGGTGTCAGACACAGTAACTTAATAAAAGTTCAGACAGACAGAAATAGTTCTAAAAGTAGGGTTGTTAAATGTGGATTAATGAACGTCAGATCAATCTGGTCTAAATCGCTTCTCATAAACGAACTTATTATAGACAAAAACTTGGATTTGTTTGCGCTCTCGGAGACTTGGCTCCAACAGGACGACTACGTTAGATTGAATGAGTGCACTCCTCCGACGCATGTTAACTACCAGAAAGCCAGAACTACAGGTCGCCGCAAGATAAAATCATAATGAAAAGAACCTTAAATGATAAATCTATCACAAGGTTCAAAGAACTAATACAGCCTATGTTGAATACTGCTGCAGGTGAACCTGTTCACAGCTGCTGCAGTCCCTCAGTCATTGACCAAACGGTGGACAACACTATGGAGTCTTTAAAATCTGCATTAAATGCAGCAGCTCCTTTAAAACAGAAAACTATTAGGATTAGATCATCGTCGCCCTGGTACAGTGTTCAACTCCACACTTTAAAACAGGACGTCAGAAAACTGGAGAGGCTATATCGCCACTCCCACTCGGAGCCTGTCCACAGGGAGTGGAAATCAGGTCTCTGAAACTACAAGAATGCCCTTCGCAGGGCTCGAACTCAATACTATTCAACTTGAATAGAAGCCAATAAAAATAACAGTAGATTTTTGTTTAGCACCGTCGCTAAACTCACAAACTGCCATAGCGCAATCGAGCCTAAAATTCCAAGCTCACTGAGCAGTGTCGACTTTCTCCATTTCTTTAATAATAAAATTACATCCATCCGTGACAAACTGGAGGAGGTTACTCCTGCTGTTAGTAGTGGACAGGCTGAAGCGGCATACGTGACTTCCCACTTAGACTCTTCAGTGGGCCTCGATAAATTCATGGCTGTGAGCCAAGCAGAGGTGATCTCTGTGGTCACATCCTCAAAAGCCTCAACTTGCATGTTAGACGCAGTCCCGACATGGCTCTTCAAAGACATACTTCCTTTGATAATTGAGCCTATCGTAAATATAATAAACGCATCCATACAATGTGGCTATGTCCCACAAGCTTTTAAAACCGCGGTAATCAAACCCCTTCTGAAGAAAACAAACCTGGACCCAGAAATACTTACAAACTACAGACCGATCTCGAACCTCACTTTCATATCTAAAATCCTGGAAAAACTTAAAGCTGAGCAGCTTTGCTGCCACCTGCAGGAAAATAATATGTTTGAAGTATTTCAATCAGGATTCAGAGCTCATCATAGCACTGAAACGGCACTAGTCAAAGTCACAAATGACTTACTACTAGCTGCTGATAATGGACAAGTGTCAGTGCTGGTCCTACTGGACCTTAGTGCTGCATTTGACACAATAGACCACAGCATTCTACTGCAGAGGCTAGAATGTGATATAGGTCTGAGAGGAACAGCCCTTGGCTGGTTTAAATCCTATTTATCAGATCGATATCACTTCGTCAACGTAAATCAGAACTCGTCGCCTTATTCTGGAGTAGAATTCGGTGTGCCGCAGGGTTCGGTACTTGGACTGATTCTTTTCACTCTCTACATGCTGCCGTTAGGAAACATTATTAAAAAGCATGGAATTAATTTCCACTGCTATGCAGATGACACACAGCTTTATCTGTCGATGAAGCCAAATCAGACAGATCAGCTAGAAAAGCTCAGTGCTGCATAAAGGACCTTAAAACGTGGATGACTCTTAACTTCCTACTTCTCAACCCGGAGAAGACAGAAGTGATCCTACTCGGTCCGAAGCTCCTGCGTGACTCCCTCACTAACCAGATAATCACTCTCGATAATGTCAGTATTATACCCAGTAACACTGTGGAATCTTGGAGTCATTTTTGACCAAGAACTCTCCTTCAAGGCTTATATAAGCCAAGCAACTAAAACGGCGTACTTCCACTTACGGAACATCGCTAAAATTAGGAATTTCCTTCCTAAAAGTGACGCGAAAAAAATTATTTACGCTTTTGTCACCTCAAGACTTGACTACTGTAACACTTTATTGGCAGCATGCCCTAAAGCCTCTTTGAAGAGCTTCCAGCTCGTTCAGAATACAGCAGCTAGGATCTTAACAGGTACCAAAAGGAGGGAGCACATAACTCCGGTGTTAAAATCACTCCACTGGCTCCCTGTGGAGTACAGAATAAAGTTTAAAATCCATCTCTTAACATATAAAGCCATAAATGGCTTCTTCTTATCTCCAAGACACGTTAGTGTCGTATCAACCAAGTCGAGCGTTGCGCTCACAAAACGCCAGACGTCTGGTGGTCCCTAAGGTCTCAAAAATCACTGTTGGCGGCAGAGCATTTAGCTCCAAGCTCCTTTACTGTGGAATCAGCTTCATTTATGTTAAGGAAGCAGATACGGTCTCCACATTCAAGGCCAGGCTTAAAGCACTCTACTTTAATTTAGCATATAATTAGGTAATATATAATATATGGTGTATATATATTATATATATATGCTGTATTATGTTATATATTATGTTATATATTATACAATATATGTATTATGTTTTGTATTGTGTTATGTTGTATATTATGTTATATATTATGCTATGTTGTGTATTACATATGATATATATGGTATGTATGGTATATTTGATGTATATGATATATAATATATAATTAGGTTTCCCTGGATCGGTTTGCACGCCTGGTGTGCAATCCATGAATCTTGGTGCTGTAACCTAGACTAGCCGTGGCTGCTGCTGTCTCACCTCCTTTCAGATACGCTCTCTTTATTCAAGGCTAGGTTTAAAACAGTCCTCTTTAGTTTAGCATATGGCTAGGAAGGTAAGACTAAACTCCTCAGACTGTCAGTCAAGCTGCATAGGGAGCCCCCTGCTGGAGAAGTATGGTAACTTGAGCACTATCCTCTCCTCCTTCCTACTTTATCTGTTTAGCATATTTAGGATTTTGACTGTAGTTTGTTCATTGCTATTCACCCGTTGTCCCATTGTCTGTTTCATGGTACGATGACGGGATCTCTGAGCCTGGCCTCCTCCATCTACACCTGCGGACTGCCCCGCCCGACCCGCCTGGGAGTGCTTCAGTCCTGCACCGGACCTGTCCACGTTCAGCAGCCACTGGTCCACGTTCTGTAGCTAGCTTAGGTCCTAGATCATTAGCCTGTCCGTCCGGAGGAGCGGATCCCTTTCTCATATGGGTCTCCCTCCCTGTGGGTTTCCCTAGTTCTCCCCAAGGTTTCTCACTTTTTCCCACTGGGTTTTTTAAGAGTTTTTCCTTGTCGATGCAGGAGGGTCTTGTTGGACAGTTAGTGTCCAACAGAAAGGATTGGTGATGATCAGGACACTTTAGCATTCTACAACATGTATGGACATTTTCTTCTGTGTGTGCTTTATATTCTTCATGTGTTTTAACTGTTGATTCTCTGACCTGTGTTGGTGATTTCAATGGTTTTGTTAAGTCCTCTGAGATGACTTCTGTTGTGACCTAGGGCTATACAAGAATAAATTTTATTGTATTATTGTATTGTACCGCCTGCCGGAAAATTTTATAAGAAGAAGTCACGTCATTTCTTTTACTGGACAGTACTACACGTGCGACGATCTGCGGTCACGGTAAGATGCGGTCACGGTAAGATGCTTGTGTTACGTGTTTTGTGATTCAGTTACTGCAGATACAGATTAGTTATTGTCGGCTACACTTGTCTTTCTACGACAACATAACGCTTAGCTTTATACGTAGTAACTCAAAGCTACAACAGTGTATTAACAGTTAAGTGAGTGCTCTTCATTATTGCCCACCGTTCTCTCCGAATAAAAAACACACAAATATTAGCGTTAACGTTTCCCCTCTTGCGTTGATGCATTGCTAACATGATTGTAAACCATTAATGCTTATGGTTTAACGTCCATTAGGCACAAAGGCACTATCGCTATGTACAATTAACGCAGTTTGAACTCCGTATTGATGACGTTGGGACATAGCCAAGGGGTGCAGGGAAGTGTAGCTAGCAATGAGGGGGAGAATGAGGCATACAGGAGAGAGAGAGTGGAGAGGGAGTCGATAGCCTTAGAACATAAGGTTATTTTGAGGTTTGGGGAGCAGGGAGGAATTGCAACAATGAATCCCATTAGGCTCACTACAGTCTTGAGGAAAAAGGTGGGGGATATCCTGCTGGCGAAAGTGTTGAGGGATGGGAACTTGTTGATTGTGTGTAAAGATATTCAGCAGAGGGAGCGAGCATATGGGCTGAAAGTGATAGAGCAGCGACGGGTACTGAGTGCTAGCATTGTAGGAGCGGGTAGTAAAGGGAAAAAAGGGGTGATCGGAGGAGTGCCACTCGAAATGTCAATGGAAGAAGTTAAATCAAATCTACGAGGGGCAAAGATTAATGAAGCGAGACGTCTAAAAGTGAATCGAGATGGGGAAAGGATTGATTCTGAGTCTGTGTTAATAGACTTTGAGGAGGAGGTATTGCCGAGGAAAGTGTCTGTAGGTTTTGTGAGTTTTAATGTTCGTGAGTATGTGTCAGGGCCGCTTATGCTATAAGTGTCAGAGATATGGGCATACAGCAAACGTGTGTAAAGGGAAGCGCAGGTGTGCTAGATGTGGTGAGGATCACGAATATGCAGAATGTAGTCAGGAGAAGCTACACTTTTGCAATTGTGGTGGGGAGCATAGTGTGGCATTTAGGGGGTGTGAGGAGTTAAAGAAGCAAAGAGAAATACAGCAGGTGCGAGCACAACAAAATATCACTTATGCAGAAGCTGTCAGGAGTGTCAGAGAGGGAGGAAGAAGAGCAAGTGTGGAAAGAGCAGAAGTAAGCCAGAGGGTGGAGGCTGTAGGCCAGAAAAGTGTGGTGGAGTTGGACATAAGGAAGGACATAAGGAAGTTGGTCACTTTCAGGGGAGACACTGCTCCTCGCGAGATGGCGCCTGTGTTCGGCTGCGCTCCTGCTACCGCCCTGCCCGCTCTAACTATTCGTGTTTCTGCGGTTATTCTAGCGGTTCCTGTCAACGAGCTCGTTGGGGATATTGCCCGTGCGTCATCGCCAGAAGGGAGTGTCTCTGACCGGTGTTTTCCTGACCGCTACGCCCGTGTTTCCTCCGTACGCCCGCGTGTTCTGTGTCCAGTACCTCGCCAGGTGGATCCCGCGGCCCAGCCGCTGCTGGAAGCACCAGCTCAGTGCACGCCGTGCGCGCGCACCGTCAGGATGGCTCTGCTTAACGTGCGCTCTATTACCAATAAGGCTTTTATTCTGAGCGACCTGTACTCTAAAGAGAAGTGGGATTTCATGTCCCTCACGGAGACTTGGCAACGGGAAAATGAGATTATTCATCTTAAGGAACTTTGCCCCATTGACTGTTCCGTCTTCGCGACTCCCCGTACGGGACGGCGCGGAGGAGGACTAGCGCTGGTTACATGGGACTCCTTCTGCTGCAGCCAAATGGACGCGCCCTCATTCAACTCTTTTGAGCTACAGATGTGTAAGGTTGGAAAATCACACTTTTATTACTGCATCTTGGTTTATCGTCCTCCTGGCCCCGCACGCACCTTTCTTCAGGATTTTGCAGATTTTCTGTCCTCCATCATTAAATTAGAAAATGTCCTGATCCTTGGGGACTTCAATCTACACACTGATGATGCATCATGCTCTGATGCAGCAGAACTATTAACTATTATGGACTCTTTTAACTTTGTCCAGCATGTCTCTGGTCCCACGCATGACAAGGGTCATACTCTGGACTTAGTCTTCTCATGTGGACTGGTCATTGATAAACTGAATATTGAGGACTTTCAAATAAGTGACCATTGTTGTATTTCTTTTAATGTGTCATCTAGAGTGGAGCCTGTCGTCCGCAATACTGCGATCACAAAACGCTTTATAAATGAAGCTACATGTGATAGGTTTGTTGTTTCTCTTGACCTTAGCCCTTTTGTTGATTGTAATGATGATGTGGAAACATTTTTAACAAGCTTTAACAGTCACTGCCTGTCTGTGTTGGATACTGTGGCACCTGTTAAAAAGGTGTCTGGTTCACAGAATAAACCTGCTCCATGGCTAAATGAGGATATCTGCAGCTTTAGGAGAGAGTGCCGGAAAGTGGAACGCCTGTTTAAATCCACAAAATTAGAAGTGCACAGACTCCACCTTAAAGAGATGATGCTTGAGCTAAATGGGAAGATAAAGCTCGCTCGCTCAACTTATTTTTCAAACCTCATTTCTTGTAATAAGAGAAACCCAAAAGTTCTCTTTGACTCCATTGAACGTCTTATGGCACCCTTGGCCCCTCTTGTGCCCGTGCACTCACAAGAGGACTGTAATAACTTTCTAAACTTTTTTGTGAACAAAGTAGAGGACATCAGAGCGAGTATAAACCCGTCACTTATTGATGTCTGTGCGTCTGAGGTCACTCAGGTGTGCTCCTGGTCAGCCTTTACTCCAGTCAGCCTACAGGAGATGGAGGCTGTCGTGAGCAAAATGAAACTATCATCGAGTCCTGCTGATATTATTCCTACATCCTTGCTTTTAAAAAAGCTTGAAGTCTTTGGCCCCTGTCTGGTGCAACTGTTTAATCTATCCTTAGAGTCTGGCACTGTCCCCAGCTATTTTAAACATGCTGTTGTAAGCCCCACTCTGAAAAAGCCCAATCTTGACCCCTCAGAGCCAAAAAACTACAGACCTATATCGAAACTCCCGTTTGTTGCTAAAATCTTGGAGAAAGTTGTTGCAAACCAGCTAACCACATTCATGGAGCAACACAATCTGTTTGACTCTTTTCAGTCTGGTTTTCGAAAGTTGCACTCCACAGAAACTGCACTTGTTAAAGTTTCTAACGACGTGTTGATGGCGGCAGATTCTGGTCGCTATACAATATTGGTTTTGCTAGATCTGACCTCTGCTTTTGACACTGTGGATCACAGTATTATGATAAATCGCCTTGAAAAGACGATGGGTTTCTCTGGTTGTGTCCTTAAATGGTTCACATCATATATTTGTGGAAGAACTTTCAATGTTGCAGTGAATGATATTGTGTCTGATGTGTCTCAACTTTCTTATGGTGTTGCCCAAGGGTCTGTTCTGGGCCCTTTATTGTTTTTATTATACCTCTTACCTCTTGGGAAAATTATCGATCGTTTTAAGAATGTATCTTATCATCTCTATGCTGATGATGTCCAACTGTATTGCTCTTTTAAAGACACTGAATTTCACCTTATCTCCCAGTTCTTAGAGTGTGTGTCCGAGATCAAAGGCTGGTTAACCACAAATTATCTGCAGCTTAATTCTAACAAGACCGAAACCCTGATTTTTGCTCCTGACAATAAGATTCAAGACATCAAACAGCACCTTGGTTCACTTGGTTCCTCTGTCACATCCCCCCTCAGAAACCTGGGGGTTGTTTTTGATCAGGCCCTAAATCTGGACACACACTGCAAACAGCTCGTCAGAAACTGCTTTTATCATCTCAGAAACATATCTAAAATCCGGAAAATATTGTCGCAGAAGGACTTGGAGATGCTCCTTCATGCCTTTGTTTCCACACGTCTTGACTATTGCAATTCATTGTTTACTTGTCTTAATAAGAGTGCTCTTAACAGACTACAAATTGTGCAAAACTCCGCTGCCAGACTTTTAACAGGAAGCCCCCGGTGGTCTCACATCACCCCAGTCCTGTCCTCACTTCATTGGCTCCCAATCAATTTACGTATTGATTTTAAAATTTTGGTTTTAACTTTCAGAGCCTTAAATGGTCAGGCTCCCGTTTATATCTCGGACCTCTTGACCCCACACTATTCTGGCCGCACTCTCAGGTCCACGGGCCAGAATTTACTTGCGGTCCCAAAGACCCGCTATAAGACCCGGGGGGACCGGTCCTTCCAGTCCGTTGCCCCCAGACTGTGGAACGCTCTGCCTCTGTCCCTCCGTGTGGTCAACTCTGTCGATGCTTTTAAAAAGGGACTAAAGACACTTCTTTTTAGGGCAGCTTTTAGTTAGTTTCTTTTTTTTTTGTTTTTGTTGTTGTCTTATTTCCATTGTATTTACTTATTTGCTTTTACCCTGTACAGCACTTTGTGATTTTTATCTGTGAAAGGTGCTCTATAAATAAAATTTACTTACTTACTTACTTACTTACTTTCATAGTAGCCGTGATGAACTCTACTATGGAGGTAAAATCAAAATCAGAAAGAACACAAATCATTATAAAAGCAGCAGAATGCAATTTGGGGTTGAGTGGATTTTCATGGGAGGAGGTGAGTAAAGAACTGTATTATCAAACAAGACCAGGGAGACAGTAAGTAAGTCGGTTTTTAATCACAATGATTTTATTGTTGCAATGGAATGCTAGGAGCTTGTTGTCAAATAGGCAAGAGCTAAAAAAGTATATTGATAATCTGTCTCGTAAACCTGAAATTGTGTGTATTCAAGAGACGTGGCTTAGAGCGAGATTTGACTTCAGGATCCCAGGATATGTGAGTATTAGATGTGATAGAGAGGAAGGTAGTGGAGGGGGATGTGCAACGTTTATAAAAGAAGGAGTTCCCTTTAGAGAACTAGGTACAGGAAAAGACCAAGAGTATGTGTCTGTTGAAATTTGGACTAGGGAAGGTGAGATGGCGGTGATTAATGACTATAATCCCTGTAGAAAATTGTATCGAGAGAAGTTGATGCAAATAGAAGGCCTGGACAGGATTAGAGTGGTGTTGTGTGGAGACTTCAATGCTCACAACACATTGTGGGGGAGTGTGAGGAATGATGTAAATGGGTATGTATTGGAGGAGTTAATGGATGACAAACATATGGTCTGTATGAATGATGGTAAAGGAACGCGAATAGATGTACGAACAGGGAATACATCTGCTCTTGATCTAACTTTGGTCACCAGTAATTTGGCAGGTGCATGTGAGTGGGTAGTTGAGGAAGATTCGACAGTGGGGAGTGATCACTTTCCGATTATGTGTAGTGTTTTTTGTCGAGGGATTTTGGAACAAAATGATTTAGGAGGTAGGTGGATTTTTGAAAAAGCTAAGTGGGAACTTTTCCGGGTTGTGAGTGAGAGAGACTTTGAGCTGGTAGATCTAGAGCAGAATATTGAAAGCGTTGATGGTAAAATTCGAGCAATAATAATGGAAGCGGCGATGCAGGCCATACCTAAGAGTAAAGGGAGACTGAAAAAAAATCCTGTGCCATGGTGGACAGAGGAGTGTAGTACGGCAGTAAAGGATAGAGACTCTGCACTAAAGGTTCTGAGAAATACCCTCAATTATGAGAATCTTGTGGAGTACCAAAAGGCACAGGCTATTGTGCGAAAGGTGATTCGTAAAGCTAAACGGCGGAATTGGAGAAGTTTCTGTGATAAAATTGGCAGAACTACACCTGTAGGGGAAATTTGGGGTGCCATAAGGAGTATGCGAGGTATTAGGAGAGAACGACAGTATCCAGTACTAAAGGAACTAAATAAGATGGCAGTAACTAATGAGGAGAAAGCAGAAATGATAGCGAAAGCATTAGTTAAAATCCATAGTTCGGAAAATCAATAAAGAGTCGGTGATGGCAGTGTTCTTTGATATAGAAAAAGCATATGATATGGTTTGGCGGGAAGGGTTAATGATTAAATTAAGTCGCATGGGTATTTCGGGTAGAGTGTTTAATTGGATTAGGGACTTTTTATGTGATAGGTATATTCAGGTGAGGATTGGGTCGGCAGTGTCTGAGCAGTACTTAGTTGAGAATGGCACTCCCCAGGGAAGTGTGATTAGTCCAATTTTGTTTTCAATTATGATTAATGACGTTTTTGAAGAGGTTGACCAAAGGATAGGGCGGTCCCTCTTTGCAGATGATGGAGGATTATGGAAAAGGGGGAAGAAAGTCAGTCAGTTGGAAACTAAAATGCAAGAAGCGGTGGGAACAGTTGAGAGATGGTCTTTTTTATGGGGTTTTAAATTCTCAGTGGAAAAGACAAAAGTAATGGTCTTCACTAGGAAAAGGAAAGCTGAGGCAAATATTAAGCTGTATGGGCAAGCCATAGAACAGGTTAAAGTGTTTACATTTTTAGGAATGTGGATGGATGTGGGGTTGACATGGAGGATGCATGTTGAGTGTATGGAGAAAAAATGTAAGAAAATTATAAATGTCATGAGGTGTCTGACTGGAGAGGAATGGGGGGCTAGTAGAGCGGCGTTAAAGAAGATTTATGTAGCTCTGGCAATGGTGTAGGTTTGGTTCCAATCTTGGTGGGGACATTCACTACGACTTCGATATTTGCCTGCACTACATCTTCCCTGAATACCTGAGTTCCCTATAATAAATAAAACACATGTAGTACATTAAACAAATCAGATCTAAACATATACAAAATAAAACCACCAACAAAACCAAATAAATACTTTCAACCTCACCTGAAGCCCTGAAGGTCCAGCCACTTCCTCATCCTCTACCAGCACTGCACATTCCCTATTTGTCTGACTTTCCTTTATGGTATTAATAAAAACACACATTCTACATTGAATAAAATGAAACCTAGGTATGGTACACCAGTCGCTGGTATTTTGGCCCATTCCTCCATGTTTCGGGGATGTCGCCGAGCAACACGGACTTTCAACTCCCTCCACAGATGTTCAATGGGGTTGAGGTCTGGAGACTGGCTAGGCCACTCCAGGACTTTCAAATGCTTCTTACGGAGCCACTCCTTCGTTGCCCGGGCGGTGTGTTTAGGATCATTGTCATGCTGGCAGACCCAGCCACGATTCATCTTCAAAGCTCTCACTGATGGAAGGAGGTTTTGGCTCAAAATCTCACGATACATGGCCCCATTCATTCTTTCCTTAACACGGATCAGTCGTCCTGTCCCCTTAGCAGAAAAACAGCCCCAAAGCATCACGTTTCCACCCCCATGCTTCACAGTAGGTTTGGTGTTCTTCTTCCTCCAAACACGACAAGTTGAGTTTATACCAAACAGTTCTACTTTGGTTTCATATGACCACATGACATTCTCCCAATCCTCTGCTGTATCATCCATGTGCTCTCTGGCAAACTTCAGACGGGCCTGGACATGCACTGGCTTCAGCAGGGGGACACGTCTGGCACTGCAGGATTTGATTCCCTGTCGTCGTAGTGTGTTACTGATGGTAACCTTTGTTACTTTGGTCCCAGCTCTCTGCAGGTTATTCACCAGGTCCCCCCGTGTGGTTCTGGGATTTTTGATCACCGTTCTCATGATCATTTTGACCCCACGGGATGAGATCTTGCGTGGAGCCCCAGATCGAGGGAGATTATCAGTGGTCTTGTATGTCTTCCATTTTCTGATAATTGCTTCCACAGTTGATTTGTTCACACCAAGCTGCTTGCCTATTGTAGATTCACTCTTCCCAGTCTGGTGCAGGTCTACAATTCTTTTCCTGGTGTCCTTCGACAGCTCTCTGGTCTTGGCCATAGTGGAGTTTGGAGTCTGACTGTTTGAGGCTGTGGACAGGTGTCTTTTATACAGATAAGGAGTTCAAACAGGTGC